AAATTAAAAAGTGAAAAATGGGGTGTGAAAAGTTAGGAATGAAAAAATATGAATAAAAATTTGAAAATGAAAAATGTACGACAAAAAAATGAAATTTAAAAAATCATGATGAAAAATTGAAAGGGAAAAATTAAAAAGTCAAAAATGGGGTGTGAAAAGTTACGAATGAAAAAATATGAATAAAAATTTGAAAATGAAAAATGTATGACAAAAAAATGAAATTGAAAAAATCACGATGAAAAATTGAAAGGGAAAAATTAAAAAGTGGACAATGGGGTGTGAAAAGTTGGGAATGAAAAAATATGAATAAACATTTCAAAATGAAAAATGTACGACAAAAAAATAAAATTGAAAAAAATAGGATGAAAAAGTAAAAAGTGGAAAATGGGGTGTGAAAATTTAGAAATGAAAAAATATGCACAAAAATTTGGAAATGAAAAATGTAGGACTAAAAAATAAAATTGAAAAAATTAGGATGAAAAATTGAAAGGGAAAAATTAAAAAGTGGAAAATGGGGTGTGAAAAGTTGGGAATGAAAAAATATGAATAAAAATTTGGAAATGAAAAATGTAGGACTAAAAAAAAAATTGAAAAAAATAGGATGAAAAAGTAAAAAGTGGAAAATGGGGTGTGAAAAGTTAGGAATGAAAAAATGTGCACAAAAATTTGGAAATGAAAAATGTAGGACAAATAAATGAAATTGAAAAAATTAGGATGAAAAATTAGAAGGGAAAAATTAAAAAGTGAAAAATGGGGTGTGAAAAGTTAGGAATGAAAAAATATGAATTAATTTTATACGATATTCATACATAAACAATCAATTTTAATAAGGAAGTTTTTAAAATGCGTAAATGAATTTCTTCTTCCCTAATTCAATGATTTGTTTCTGCGCAGAAGCAGAAAAAATTATTTCAAATTCTTAACTTTTATCGAAATGTCCGATCAAAAAACAGTAGCAGATACTCTTCGATTGGACACGGCGGACGATAACAAGAATGCAAACGGAGCAGCGAATGACGAACTCAAATTGGTTTTGAGAAAAATCGTCAATGCCAAAGGAGAACCACCGTTCGGATTGAAATTGATTCCGGAGCACATGATTTTCAAATATATGCTACCTGGGCCCGGTTTCGCTTCATTCACTATTGTCAATACGAAGCCTGATCGGCAAGCTTATAAAGTAATCAAAAAAATTTAAGGAAACTTTTAAAAAATCATTTTAGGTCAAATCCAGTGATAACAACTTGTACCGCTCGAAACCAAGTGTTGGTTTCATTAAAGTCCGTTGAATAAAGGACAATAAAAACGAAAACTACAATTTTCCAGGGTGGAGAGAAAGTTCATGTCAGAGTCACTTTCCTCAATCCGGATCCCACGAAACTTCCGGACTTCAAAAAACACGTGGCCGTTTATCATGTGTCTGCTGGTAATGCAAAGACCTACGACGAGGCGTTCTCTAAGAAGGTGGATGGTGTTTACCACTACTTTTGTACCCATGTACCTGAAAAGATGGGAGAACTGCCTGATGAGCCAGAAGAAGAAGCAAAGTGAACTGATTTATGATAAATGAAGTGATATTATTTAGCAGTCTTTGCAGTCTGAAAACCGAATACAATAAGATAATATGGTTCATTAATATAACGTTCTGAAAAAGTCAAATGTACAAAATTAAGCAAAAAAAAATGATACGAGCCAATTTACATCACAGAATAAAGTAGTAGAGCTCATCATACTCATAAATTTTTGAAATTGAATATTTACTATTATACAAAAATGGAACAAAATTAATCAGCAGCATTATTAACTGATTCCTCAAGCGTCATTATTTCCTCCATCAGATTTTTCCTCTCGTTCACAAATTGATGTCCTGCGTGTTGAATATCCTAAAACTTCATATTGATTTGTAAACTATTACCAAGTAGTCCCAAGTAGTTCCTACCTCGTGTTGTGGAGTTATTACGTGAGGATTGGATCGGGCATAGTAGTCGACCCAGACTTGGAGAACACAGAATGAAGGATTCACATAGAGAACTTTTTTGGTTTCTGAAGCAATACAAGTTTTCGAACGTTATTTTTAGACTTCACAGACTTCGCACTCTGAACATTGGATTTGTGAACTTCTTCTTGTTTTCCAACACATACGACCACAGCGATATTGTCGTTTCCGCACATTTCTGAAATATGTCAAAGCTTATATTGACTACTTAACCAATATTACTCACATTATCCAATAATCTAATTTTCTCTGAATTGAACAAGAACGTTCCGTATCGACACGAGTACATCTCATCAAGAATGTACATCAGCAAATCTTGTGTGAATTCGAAGGCCCATGGGAACTGACGCATAATTTGCCACAAGCAGTCGAAAAACTGCACGAAGATTGGTGATCGTTCGCCGTCTCCATGAGAATCGTCGCCATGACCAACTCTTTCTCCAAACTTGTGTCCAAAGCTACACCATTCTTTTTCAATTAGAACTATAAATCCCTCGATGGTTCGATAATATGGGTCTAATTGAATCATCGCCAGGGAGGTTAGTTGTGCTGTTCTATCCCATCCATCAGAACAGTGCACCAAAATTGACTGTTTCTCAATGTCCACATTGAATACAGCTTTTACTGCTCCCTCCAAAATACTTTGTACGTGATGAAGCCACTTAGATTCATCTAGCGCTTTGTAAAAGTTCTTCTCATCGACACGCGGCAGAAGAGTGCTGGCCATCCGTTTGAGAGAATCACGAACGACGTGGATGTTATGAATGTTGAGGAAGGTGAGAGACGCTGTCGTGTAGTTCTCTTCATATCCTCCGCCTTTTGCTTTATTCAGCTTTGCATTGACTGCTGGTCGAGCATCAAGAATCAGAAGCTCACGGCAGTTGGCATTCGCATTCATGATATTTGTCAGATGACTTAAATAGTGTGATGTGATTATCTCGACTAAGAATACCAAAAACTCACATCTCATCCTCATTACACTTTTTTCTGGCAAGTCCAGTCATTGGTTGGGAGCATCTGCTAATCGAAGCCAACGTATTTTGATCAATCCAACTGAGAACCTAAAAGGAATTTGTAAATTCAGATTTTGAGGAGTAGAACACTTACAGGAATTCTTTCCTTGCTGCGATACTCTCCAAGCTTTTTCAGAAATGCCTTTCCCTTTTCTACTGTTGCTTTGGGGATCACGAACTGAAAAAGACATCAGTTGAAAAATCAAGTTTGCCACAAACTGTAACTTACGACTCTCGGGTAGGTCTCACTGAACTTGTAGTCTTTGTTGATGTCAACCATTTCCCAGAGACGCGACGAGGGGATTCCGAGACGCTCATATTCCCTTTCAGCTGAGTATATCTTCCACCCATCTCTCATTAATCGTGGGGATTCTGCTGCGTGCACAAACGCGAACAACGGCTAAATTAGGTATATCAGAAACTAAATAAAACTTCGATGAATACACTTACGAAGTTATGAGAAATAGGGAATGCATATCGATTCAGTGAATCACAAATATTCTTTCGGTTCGAAGTGGGTAGGCATGCGAATTTGTAAGTTCGATAATCTTTGCAAAGCACGATGAACCCATAATTATCGTCTCCTCTCATTGCAGCACTTCTGGATTGTCCGCCAACTTTTTCTACTTTTGAAACATGTCCGAGAGGTACATCAAGCTTCCATCGCTGAAATTTACACTTTTTTCAAGTTCTAGATTTTTACAGTTAGATTCTTATTTTAAATCTAACCTATTTTTCAACGAAAGCTGTTAAATTAAACTAACTTCGTAATGTTTTCCTCCATCTCCAACAAGAAAAACCATTCGGTACCTGGTGATGACGACTTTTCCGGGAAACTTTCCGAATGGACCGATATATGCAACATTTTTTTCTGAAAATATAAATAGTACAACTGAAACATTCGTAGAATCATTTAATACCAGTCCAAATAACGCTTTCTGCTGCTAATAATTTGATGTCGATTGGTTCTTGAAGCATTGACGAATTGGGAGCTGAAAGTGATGAAATATGAAATAGACAACATGATAACTATGTGACTCACTCTCCCCGATGTCACTGCTATTTCGGCTGTCATCCAAATTCGTAGACATTTCGGTTAACTGCCCTGTAAAACAATTTTTAGTGACGATTTGGGTCGATAAGGTTGAGAAAAGAGAATTTGGCTGGTGTGGGCGAGAGAGAGGAGACACAGACATGCCGAGAATGAAGCAAACATAAGCTATGTTTCACATCTATTCACAAATTTATGTTGATTTAGAAGAATTACAGATATTCCAAGCATCATTTGCAAAAATTTGGCATTGATACATTTTCTCGAAACAATTTAGAAAAAATACGATTTTATTCATTTCAGGAACCGGTGATAAATAAGTACATTTATTCAGTTAGCAATCGAAATGGTGGATTCCTTCCAAATTTGTTGCCCTTAAAGAGGGCCGCACGGCACCCCAGCGAAACAAATGGAGACCCCGCAAATTAAAATCGCGACGATTTGCCATATCTGAAAGTTCCTCTTCATACCACTATTAAATTGACTCCAAAGGCATATTCTTGCGAAGTTGAACTATTCCCATTCCCGATTAAGGCTGCTGACACTTACAGAGAGAAACCTGATCAGAAACAATAATGTTATTAGTCTCCGAATTAGACTGTTTTATGATTTATGATGCCAATGTACATTCATGATATGTTTTCTTTTCTCTATCGGGCGTTTCGATTGCATTTTCA